GTAGCTGTTGACACAATTGTTTTTGTATTATGTACGTTTCAATAGTTTATGTTCTGTTTGACAAGGTTTTTAAAGTTTTTTTTAAGAAAAAATAATTTCGTAACAAAAAAAATTATGGGTAATTACGATTTGCAAAAATGGTTTACATGCATGGTAGAATATAAATAATATATGTACATAAGAATAAGTTCAAAAGGAAAGAAGCAAACTCAAATAAGTAAAAAGAATAAATGAAAAAAATAAATACAAACTTTACGTAATAAAAATAATGGTAAATGACACTTTTCACACTTAAGGATCTTTGAATTTTAGTTTTCACCCTGAATGATTAAAATTCTCACAAATGCACCCTCAATTAAATAAAGAAGTAGCAATGTGCTCCATTTTCATAAAATTAAGTAGAAAATTTTAATGTAAATTACTCAAAACTAGGTATTATACAAATAATTGTGTATTAAAACAGGATAATATAATAAATAAAACTAGCAAAAAAGGCATTGAAAAATAGGTTTTGGACCACTTGCTATATTTTTGTCTAATTAAGGGTGCAATGTGAGAATTTTAATTTTTTAAGATATAAATTAAAATTTTAATAATTTTCCAGGGTACAAAGTGTCATCTGTCCCAAAAAATAAAAGACATTTTAAAATAGCATTGTCAAACGATGCCTAATGTTCAATTATAAATTTTATTTTTCATTTTTTTTCCTTCAGGCATTCAATAAAGCTTGGAAGGAGGCTTGTTCTTTTGAAGGAGTAGCTGTTCTTGTAATTCCGGCTAACAGGATATATCATCTTAAGCCAATTACTTTTCCAGGTCCTTGCAAATCCGTCCTTACAATGATGGTAAGTTTGTAATGCATGAATTCATAAAATAGTAGCTAGAAAATTTTGCGGGTTCTCGAAAAATCTTGTGGTCATTGTTTTTAATTTCGTTCTAACTTAATCATCCATTGCACTACATGAGCACAACAATTCATGGTTGATTGTTCTTTTGCTTTCATTTTGAGAACAATTGGTAACGTACATTGTTAATCGCACATGTTTTTGTGTTTTTCTATTTCGTTTTGCTGTCAGTTTGCGATAAGAAATCAAAACATGATGGCTTTTGCTAACTCTTTATTAGAATTTCATATAAATTTTTTTTATTTTTTTGGGTAATCTTAATTAGGTCCATGGAACAATCAAAGCTTCTCCACGCCGATCAGACTACAAGGAAAGCCCAAGACAATGGATTGTGTTTGAAAAAATGAACAACTTCATAGTTGAAGGTGGTGGGACCATCAATGGAAATGGAAGGCCATGGTGGCGAAACTCCTGCAAAATCAACAGAAGCCTCGTAAGTATTGGTGACCAAATTCTCTAATTGAATACTTAGTAGGTGATTGTGTGCATCCAAGCTTTTCATTACAATAATTAGAGGCGTAACTCGGACAAATTTATTGCATTCAGTCTCACCCCCGAATTTTGGCCCTAAATTGTGTAACTAGAGACCCAAATCCCAATTGAACTCAAATTTTACATCAAGTTGGATCGCATGGAAGTCAAACCCAAATTGAACTTGATTTCAAACTGAATTGTATAATCCGGGTTCAACCCAAGTTCAAATTAGATGAATGTTTAGAGTTAAATTTAGGTTTGGATAGCAAATTTTGAAAGTTCGATTAAGCCCAAGTCAATCCCACAACTTGGGTGGACTCTCCATTAGCATGGTAAAAAACACACGTGGTTGAAAATATTTTTTGTTATTTATTACACTTTTTTTTATTATAAATATATCTACAAGTTGACTAATATTTGACATATATTTCCATGTTTTTTTATGCAGCCTTGCGTGGGTGCACCAACGGTAAGTCTGTGGCTCTTCTACCAAGCTTTACAAAGAATCTAAATGAACAAAATCTAGTGTTTAATTTCAGGATTTTAAGAGTTTTTGAACCTTTTTTTGCAGGCTGTGACCTTCGACAATTGCCTAAATTTGAGAGTGGCCAACATAAGGATTAAAAATGCACAACAAATGCATCTAACTTTTCAAGATTGTGTGAATGTTAAAGCTTCAAATCTCAGAGTAATCGCACCAGAGAAGAGTCCCAATACTGATGGAATTCATGTCACTGGAACCCAAAATATTCAGATTATGAGCTCTCTCATCAGAACAGGTAAAGGAGAGGAGCCAAGCAAGAATGAATTCTTAGTTCTATTACTGTATTTTACCAATGTTACACTAATAGATTAGGAGAAAGATTGTGGTTTATACTAGATTCGGTGTCGTAACAATATAACTCATTTTGGTTGATCCCAAGCTACCAAATGAGTTGTAATCTCATCATAGTTTTTTCTGTAAGTTGATATTATTTTTACTAATTTTCCTTAACAACTAATGTGGCATAGTCATAAGTTCATAACCATTAGATGATTAGTAAAAATATTAATCAAATAATCCACAACAGTTGAAAATGAAAATGTGTTAAAAAAAGTTAGAATTGATTTTTTTTACACACGTAACGGTTTCTTATTTCTAATAAATTAGAAAATTTTGAGGAGAAAATGAGATTTTTTTTGACCTTTCTGTATTTCTAAATATTTTTGCAGGTGATGATTGTATTTCCATTGTGAGTGGATCTAAAAATGTTCGAGCAACGGATATAATATGTGGACCAGGCCATGGAATCAGGTCTCAAATTCTAAATCCATCCAACTTATTAATAATCAAAAAAATTTCTACTTTTAAAGCATGTAATCTCATTTATTTACAAATTTATTTACACGTTTCTTCACAGCATTGGAAGCTTAGGAAAAAACAAGGCAGAGGATGAGGTTTCAGATGTGGTTGTGGACAGAGCAAGAATTTCGGGGACCACAAATGGAGTAAGGATAAAGACTTGGCAGGTAAGTGTCATTTTACAACTTCCTCATATAGGCTCTGAGGACAAATTACACTTTATACCTTCAACTATAGTCCTAATCTCTTTTTATCCCCTCATCTATCGGGTTTTTTTTTCACATTGGTCCCTTAATTACAGGAATTTGTCTCATGTTTCGGACAGAAGGTTTTTATGTGTCATTAGTTGAGGGGATAATATGAAATAAGAGTATAGTTGAGGGGCCCCAAGTATAATTTATCCAAATATCTAACTCATTAACAACATTGAATTTGGATGAAATAACACATCAAACCCCTTGTATGTGTGAAATGACAAGAAAGCCCCATAGTTCACAGTTCTGCATTTCATCAATGATCAATTAAATGTTCATTTTTATCTCATTTTCTATGCAGGGAGGATCTGGATACGCAAAGAACATCAAATTCCAAAACATTATCATGCACAATGTGACTAATCCCATAATTATAAATCAGAACTATTGTGATCAGTCGGAATCATGCCCAGAACAGGTAATAAATAATTCAAACTCTATCACCACTAAACTTGTCAATTGTGTAGAGTTTTAATGGTTTCGTGTTAAATCGTGACCTATAATCGATTCGTTTATTAATTCGTGTCTAAAGAATCAAGTTATATTGGGTTTACGTTGTGTATAATCGTGTATAATCGATATATACACAAATCGTGTATTTTTTTTATTGGATTCATCCATACCTGATTCGTTTATTAATCGTGTCGTGTATTTATTAAGAAAGACCCAAACCCTGTTATTTCATTACTTTTGAGAGATCGTATCATATTCTAATACCACTAATCACCACCACCCTAATCATAGACACTCATTCTGCCAACTGCATTTCTTTCCTACCGTATCTTAACTAACAAATCTGATTAGGGTACGAAAATATAGCTTTTTTGTACCCTATCTTCACATCTAATCCAATTAAATCGTGGCCATTTTTTTCTGAGTAGTCATATTTTGCTATAACAACTGTATTTTTTATTTTTTTATTTTTTTTTTGTGAGTACCGTAGACTTATCCTCTAACTCTATGATCTGTATTTGATTTCAGCCCTCAGCTGTGCAAGTAAATAATGTGGTGTACAAGAACATCAGAGGAACCAGTGCTTCAGAGGTGGCTGTTAAACTTGACTGTAGCAAGACCTTCCCATGTAATGGCATTGTGTTACAGAATGTAAATCTAGTCCGTGAAGGAGAGACAAAAGCAAAAGCTTCGTGCCAGAACGTCAGACTAGCAAGCACAGAGAGGGTCTCTCCACTTTGCCAATGACAAAAAAGCAAACGAACATCCATCACTTTCTTATGAAAACAGTTTTTTGGGTTTCAATTAGAATTTAAATAGGAATATATTTTTTTAGTGAAGAATAATTAGATTTTTTTATTTCATGTAAACTTTTGTTTTTTTTTTGTTTATGTTTTTTTAGATTTCATGCTCGATGAGAATTATTGATTTCGTTTCTTTATTAAATTTTGAAAGTCAGTGGCGATAGTCTCGTAGATTGAGCCGCCCTTTTTATAAGTTTGTAAGTCACATAACGATTTAGAGATATTTATACTCATTCATCAAGAATATTTCTCATTTATTTTATCGTACATTTTTTTTTTTGTGAATTTAAGGTTATATTTGTGTGTTCTTCGATAGAAACTTTATTTTCCTCTGGTAGTTGCTATTTGGTACATTGCAATCTGAGTCTTGATTAACTTGACATGTTGGTTGATGAGTAAAATTCGACATTTCAAAGTTTTTTAGTTATACCTAACAAGGCTTACATAATCTTCACAATATAGTTGCTCGTTTAAGGCATAGTTAGTTATCTGGGCCCTACCATTGACCTGGCAAAAGAATTGGTCAGTGAGTCATTGAATTAACTGGTTAGACTGATCATAAATTTAATAAATATTTGTAAACACGTACCTTTTAAACTATTTAATTGTGAGAAAAAACATTATCTAAAATCTTTTGTAGATAAGTACCTTTTAACTTGAAATGTATTGTATTTAGGTAATCATTGACAGATTTATTTGAAGACTGTTAATTGGGCAGCCCCATTTTTTTTATGAGATTTGATTTATAATATTAATAGTTTCATATTTTAGGGAATTGAACATATTTGATATTCAAAATTATACCATATGGACTACACCTTAATGACTTGATCCAAATTTTGAAATTCATTTTTTTCATATTATTTTTATTGTTAAACAGTTCTAGTTCCTCTCATTTCTAACAACAGTGTCACTATGCAATGTTATACTGTAATGTAATTCTATCATTCATTAAAAGAATTTCACAACTTTCAGTGGATCAATGAATGTAATATGGAGGGTACTTAATAGAAAATGAGTGACGAATAAGTATATTGAAGTGATAAAAGACATATATGACGGGACTATGACTGCAATTGGGTCTTGCGTGTGAGAAAGTAAAGAATTTTCAATCATGGTGGAATTACACTAATGATCAAGGTCCATATTTATTCGCTCTAATTATGGATGAACTCACNAGGTCTTGCTTGTGAGAAAGTAAAGAATTTTCTATCATGGTGGAATTACACTAATGATCAAGGTCAATATTTATTCGCTCTAATTATGGATGAACTCACTATGCACATTAAAGATGATGTCTCACAGTGTTTGTAGATGATATTGTATTAGTAGATGAAACTTGAAAGAAGATTAACAATAAACAAAAAATTTGGAGAGAGACACTCGAGTCGAAAGGGTTTAAAATAAGTTGAAGTAAAACTGAAGATATGTAATGTAATTTTAGTAATAGAAGTAGTACACATAGTGAAAAAATTAAGATTAAAAATCAAGAAATACTAACAATAAACGATTTAGATATTTAGAGTCAATCATTAAGAATGATGGAGAGATTGAAGATGATGTAACTTATAGAATCGACACCAGTTGGTTTAAGTAGAGGAAAACTTCTGGTATATTATATGATAGAAGGATATTAATAAAATTGAAAGGTAAGTTTTGTTGAATAGCTATAAGAACAATAATGTTGTATGAGAGAGAATGTTGGGCAACTAGGAAATGACATAGCAAAACAAATGAGTGTAGCAGAGATGAGAATGCTAAGGTAGATGTGTAGAAAAATTAGAAAGGATTGGATACAAAATAACTGTATTAGAGAAATGACACGAGTATCTCCAATTAAGGATAAATTAAGAGAAAATAGATTAAGATAGTTTGATAATGTTTAACAAAGACCGATAGAGACACCGATTCAAAAAAGTGAGATAATCTTTGTTAATGATACTAGAAGTAGGGTAAATCTAAATTAACAATAAATAAAATAATAAGAAAATATATGAAAATATTTAATTTAAATGAGCGTATAGCGCATGATCGAAATGAATCGACCCCAAATGATTGGGAGATAAAGCTTGGTTTGAGTTGGTTTTTGGTTTGAGTTAGGACTCGATTTATTTTCTAAACGAGCCGAATTTGAATAATTTTTTACGTTCATTTAGAAAAAAAGTTCTACAGTCTCAGCTCAAGCTCGTAATACTCGGTTCAATTATCAATCCTAATAGAGGAGGACCTTTTTATAAATAATGTGTTACACATAAATTCACGATAAATAATTTATCATTAAAAATAATTTAAAAAATATATTTAAGGAAATCTCAATTCAATACTCCAGTCAAATTGATTAGAGCAAGGAAGCTTGGAAATAGGGGTAGGGTAGGAAATATGGTCTTTCATCTTCTTATGCGATACTTTGCGAAAGAATATTTTTGTCCAAATTAATCGGGTAGAAAATCGGATGAACATGTTTTGTGGTTATTAATTTTTGAATTATTTTAACAATTCAATTAAGTAATCTGCATCAATTTAACAACACAATAAACCAATAACGCTAAAATCTAAAACAATTACAATAACAATTATAATAAAATACAAGAAAGTTTAAGACATAAATATCAATACATCACAATTGTTCAAAGAGAGAGCGAAAGAGGTGAGGGAGGCGAGATGAGGAGGCTGGAGGCGAAACAGGCAACAAGGCATTAGGGAATTAGGGTTTTTATTATATATACGGGTAGGGTAGGGTAGGAACACATAAATTTGATGGCTATTTTGCATTGGTACCCAATTTAATCGGAAGACAAAAAATGTGACAACCCAAAAACTGGAGATCCTTTGCCAACTCGTTGATCACCCATCAACCTGCAGAATACCCGTGGATATCGTGTAACTCGATATCACACCATTATATCACATATACCAGGGTTCATAATTTAACAAAATTTGGGTAGAGTCTCATTCATACATGAAACTCTATTCAAAAACACAACCTGTACAATCATACAACATTGACCACACCGGGTCTATTTATAAGTAAATGTTGACCATACTAGGTCCATTTATGAGTAAACATTGACCACACTGATCCATTTATCCATATTTATATAACAACATGTAATGTTACATTAAAAATAGTCAATATGAGTTCGATTACAATTCTTTTACATATATTACATGCCCAAAAACTAACTTAGCGAATGTTTTACAAAAACATAGTTTTTTTCACAATAGTTTTACAAAACGTGAATTTAAAAGTCACAAGTCGACTTTTCTTCATTCTTGAGACCTCAAATACGAGAGCTGTCTACCGATTTATAGCCCGCACCTAAAATATTTTCCCATAAATAGTGAGTCACACTCAATAGGGTATCTCCTAAAGAGGTCACTCCCCAACCTAAGTGCATATGAAATGTCCACAAGCAACATTCAACAAGCAACAACCATTCTAATCAAGAATATGCAATTCAATGTTAGAAATCACCATGTCATGCTATGAAATGAGATGAGACTCACTCATGCACTTCAACCCGAGTCCTCTCCGGCTCTCACAACATAACACAATGCAATGCCAATGTGTATAAATTCGCCATTGATGATATACGTCCAATGATATTTTTAAATTAAACCATGTGTTTTTGTTATAAAATAAAATCATGTGTCTTTGTTGGACGTTGTAGTACTCGAAAAACTTCAAGACACATGTCTTCATCATAACAGGGCAAGTGGCAACAATTATCAGTTAATATGGAAATGGCGCCCAACAGAGTTTAGCTGGACTGGTATAGATAACAGTGACAAGGGCGACGCTCTCAAGCACAATACCGTGAGATATATCTCCATCGCATTGAAAGTGGCAAAATGGACCTTTCTCCAAGGTTGGACAGAAATGGAATCGCAGAAGTGTGGGGGCAACCTCGGCGAAACTCGTCTCCCCCACTGCGATAGTGGTATCCTCAATCTATTGGACACTATTGCTCGACTAGTCCACTGGACTAAAAGGAGATGTCCCCACCTAGGGACATGGAAATATGATCTTCCTGAAGGGAGATCTGAGCAATGAGGGTGGACGAGCATGATTGTTAACCTCTTCCTGGGGCAGAGTCTCGAAGGTTTAGTCTGCTCGAGCAGGCCTCCCAGTGTATGACTCACTACCCACTGAAATGTGCTTGACTGCGATCCAGAGAGACTCCTAAAGTAACTGGAGTTATTGGCCCGGATCAGCATATGGGAAGATGAGACATGTAGATTGGTGGCTAAAAAACTGAAACTATGTGGGTTTCCTCTACCGAGCACTTCGACAAAAGTCTCGAGGAAGGGTCTAGAGAGAGAAAGAAGGACCCCGAGTTGGAGCGCGTTAGGGGTATCGCGGGCATGGTCCTCTCGAGGTCATGGTCCCACGGTGACCAGTCGCAATCATGGACCTTGAGAGCCCTCTCTCACCTTGACTATCACACCTTCCTCAAGGCCACGTCTAAGTTACGTTTGGGGAAGCATCACTTATACTTGATTAATGTTGGGACGCATGACTCGCCGTTAACAACCATTGGTATCGTTGCGGTCGAGACAATTGTGGGTTAGCACGAGTGGTAGGAGGTCGCGGCGGGTAGCTCGACTTGCCCGAGCACTATGTTATATATACCCACTGCAGAAGATGATTTTATGGCTGGTGAGAGCATTTTTCACCTACCTTCTGCCCAACTAGTTTGTCCTTTCGTTAACTGGTTGCTCAAGTTCCTTCAATCTTATCTACTTAACTGGCATGGACACGTGTGCCAACCTCTTTTGACTCGCCACTTACAGACGTTACACATCGAATGACTATTTTATAAAATAAAATCATGCGTCTTTGTTGGATAGCAGAGTTTTGGTATCCGATACACTTTCTAAAATTTTACCACAGAGGAGTGTATGAATCAAGTAATCGGGTCTTGCACCCAAGGGCGAATTTAG